GGGGGGGGGGGGGGGGGGGGGGGGGGGGGGGGGGGGGGGGGGGGGGGGGGGGGGGGTCAAGCTCGCCATATTCGGGGCAGAGGAGAGGACCTAATCCTCGCGTAACAGAACAGCAGACGCCAGTTCCAAAGTGGTGGGCTAGAAAGAGGCAAGCTTCCGAACTGACGCTCCTCGCGAACACCATTCCCAATGGCTCAGCGCTGCGATCGACCCGCACAAACCGTAAATCGGACATGCCCTCAAGTCTACCACATCGCGACCGAGTTCAGCTGAGTGGCGGGCATTGTCAAACACAACAATGATTATAGTCTTGCCCGACCTTCCCGGCCAACGCAAGTGTCAATCAACCGCCCCAACACTATCCTAGTCACGCAGAAAAACACCCAGAGCCAGCTTCGCTATCTCAAGAGACCAACCAAAGAGCCACACAAAACACGCACACACGCCCCAACCTAGGCTCCCTGTCGCTCACCTGCTCCGACCTTCATCCTCGTTCCGTCCGATAGCGTCACCGCGGCCGACCCTTCCCGGAAAAGGAGCACCGTCGGCGCGTCCCTCCTGCTCACTCTCCGCGTCTCCCCCATCCCGCTGCTGCCCGAGATTCCGCTCATGTCCGGCGCGTCCAAGTCTAGCCCACCGCCGCCCTTTGGGGTGGGAGGAGGCCAGACGTCGGCCGACGCGGGGACCAACCTCTCGCGGCTCCCCGGGAGGGTGTTTTCTTCGATGAGACGGTTCAGGCCTCTCGCCGCTCGCGCTTTCGCCTGTGTGTGTCAGGGTGTGTAGGTCGGTCAATTGTAGCAGATCGGAGTGAGGAGCCATAAGATAATGCTTTATGCACACCTCACAGTGGCCAGCCCGATTCGATACGCTACACCGCAGACTCGCATCGGAAAAACAAAAAAACAGCATGTCCAAACGTGCGCCGAAAAAAATGGGCTTTTCGAAACCGTTCGAGAGACGCACTGGTCTCCGTTCGTTCATGGCAAACATCAATCTTCCTGAGTCATCGCGAGTTTCTCCGACAATCAAACTTAAGGGCGTGGACGTGGTATCTTGTACGACATGCCGAGAGCTGAGTCTCCGAGGCCGGCATTACCTCTGGTGTTGACCTCGTGGTTGCGGGCGCTCTTCCTCTCTTCGTCGCGTGCCAAAAAAAAAACAATCACACAAATCGAGAGTGTGCCGGCTGCTGAACACCCTTCCGCGGGCGACTTCAACACCACGTTAACTCTCAACTTCATCTTGCTGCTTGTTCCCGAAGGGTAGGCAGACACTTTCTCCTACCAAAGTACCGCTCTACCGATAGGCCCCAAAACACCCGAGACCACACCAAACCAGCAACAACAGCCAAGTTGAGTGGCTTTGTCTCGAGCTGGCATTCTTCCTGTGTTTCGTTCGTGTCTACATTTTCTACCAAGAGACAGAGAGAGAGAGAGCCAAGGGATAATCGATCCATTCATTGATTCATTCACTCGTTCCTGCCTCACTGACCTGCCCCTCGAGCTTTCGCCGCACCCCTCCCAGCTCGTCGAGCAGGTTCGCGAACAGATGTCGCGGTACGGCCATCACCTCGCAGTCCTCCTCCGACACGCACCCCGCCGTCACCGCCCTCGCCACTCCCCCCCCCGTAGCCGGCCCCCTGCCGTACTCCTCCCCCGGCGTCCTCTTTCTCGCGGGCAGAGACTTCTCCACGGCGATAGCCGTAGGCTTAACAACCTCGCCGCTCACCCCCGCCGCGGACACGAGCATCCCTACCGGCTCCTTCGCCTGCTGCTGCTGCTGGGCCGGCGTCGACCTGCCCATCGATTTGAGCCGCTCCGTCTTCTGGGAATTTTGCCGTTGCTTGAGGGCGGCGGCGGCGGCGGCGAGCCCTTCCTCGGCTTCGGCAGCGGCCAGCAGCTCCGCCTCGCCGAAGGAACTCCCTCTCTTCAAAGTCTCCAGCTTCACCACGAAGTCCTCGCCGTGTCTCTCCGACTCCGCCGCGCTTCTGGAAATTTTGGAAGACGGCGGTTCAGAAAAGGTGGTTGGTTGGGGCATGAGGCACGAACGGTAAGCTTTTCACGACCTACAAAAAAACTCTGGGATGAAGTCGCGCCTCACGAGNGCAGTAATCCAAAGGTTATCCACATCATCGCTGCCGTCCTGCTGAAGTACGCCGTAAAAAGATATGTACAACACCTAAAAAATGGCCAAGTTTTTTTAACGGAAAGTTTTATGTAGAAGGCGATGAAGTCGCGAATCACGAACTCCCTCCCCATGTCCATTCGGAAGGAGCGGGGAACGTCGGTGCCGCTCATGTCAACAATGAACTTCTTGGAGAACGCCCGGGGTACGACTTCCTCCGCATGCCGTACAGCTCATCGCCCGATGAGCTGTACGGCATGCGGAGGAAGTCGGACCCCGGGCGTTCTCCAAGAAGTTCATTGTTGACATGAGCGGCACCGACGTTCCCCGCTCCTTCCGAATGGACATGGGGAGGGAGTTCGTGATTCGCGACTTCATCGCCTTCTACATAAAACTTTCCGTTAAAAAAACTTGGCCATTTTTTAGGTGTTGTACATATCTTTTTACGGCGTACTTCAGCAGGACGGCAGCGATGATGTGGATAACCTTTGGATTACTGCAACGAAGAAATGTTAACTTTTTTTTTTTTGGTGAACCTATCATAACACCCTGACGCCCTTCAGGTATACTAAACAGAACTAAACGAACAACAATTTCTGAATATTCTAACAACAAATGCTTTATCACCTAAATTGTCTATTATATCCCCATACAATTGACCTTAGAGTACACCCCGCTTAAAGCATTTCCTCTTTCATCAAGCGCATTTTCATATTCGTGTGTGTAAGTGCCCTGCATTGAACGCTGAAACCCTGCTGTGGCCTTTTCAAGATCACACGTATTGGAGGTGTCACGTTGTCCAGTATACAGAAACACAGCAGCAACTAAAGCCGCTGTGATCTACTTCAATCTTGTATCGCACAGCAGTCCGGCGCTATCGCACAGGGGGAGAGGGTGCGCGAAAACCAGGCGCGAACCACAACATAGAACAAAACACAATCGCAACCCAAANNTATATCGCCTACGGCGATATATCGGAGAAAATATCGTTATATCGGCTGCTGCGCAGCCGATGTAAAATATATCGTTTTTTCGTACCGATTCACAACTCTACAAATCTGCCACAGCTTGCAGCATTCTTCCACACGGGACTCCCTTCGGCTAGAACTTCCTCCAAGCATCCTCCCACACCTCACCTGCCCCACAGCCGTCCCCTCTTTTTCGCCGCGACTCCTTCGACCTCTAGGAGAACCTCTCCCTGGTTGATGAGGTAAAAGTTACGGTCGATCTCGCCCTCGGTGTAGATCGTGTCACCCCTCTGTTTTCGGCAAGGAAAAGCAACAGAATAACAGAGAAAATGAGAACAAGATAGGGGGGGGGGATGTTTACACGTACGAGAAAATAAAACGAGTTCCAATACAGTTAAAATAAATGAGTTCCAACATAGAGACTGTTGCGGCAGAAAAAATGGGGACGGGATCGGAAAAGGGGAGCACGCGCTGGAAGGCAACGAAGGTACTACTCGGCCGCTATGCGCGTCATACGAGAATGAAGAGCGTCAGCGGGGCGTTTTCGTGGGTGGCCCAAGCAGCGGCAGCAGCTAGCCACCGCCGCCGCCGCCGCCGCCACCTCACCACACCAACCCCTCCTTGTCCTGCTCGCCAACACCAAGCCATCAAACCCAACCTCGTTTTACCGCCGGAGGGCGAAAAAGTGTCCTGTCTCTTCTTGCCAACAACGCTTTTGTAAGAGACTCGACTCAAGCCTAGCAACCGAGTGGTCCTCTGCCGGCTGGCACTACGGAGACTCTCGAGTCGATCCTGACAGCAGGGTGGCCCATTGCCAACACTACTACTGAGACTCGCCTCGACTCAAACAACAGACCGCCCCCCGCACCCATCCGTCCCCTTCCCCGTACCTTGAAGACCTGTGACGGACAGAGCGGAGGCACGAGCTTCATGAAGTCCTCGTACATGACGCGAGGTGCGTGCTCGGTGCCCGGGTGGCCAGTAGATGCCTGCATCATGCGCAGGATCTCCTGTAGCGGGGGGCGTAGGAGAGCAGTCGAACAACGAACGGACGTACCAAGGGCATGCATGCGCACGTAAGTATGACCGCGCGCGACACGACGCGTATGTTCCGGGGGAGAGGGTGTGTGTGTTTTTATTATTAGCATCGACCGCGCTAACCGGCTGACCAATTAAAAGACGTCAGTGCCAGCGGGTAAAAATCAAGGTCCCTGGAAGGGGGCCAAAATTCGAAAAATGCGCAATGCGCTTGATGCGAATGCCAATACGACTCTCTCCACATGTTCTTCCACGTAGACACACATCTCAGCTACACAAATGCATTCGCTCGAAGCTAGGTGTGTGTGTGTGTGTGCGAGAAAGTGCGCGATCGAGAAAACAGTGGCATAGGGAGGGGAGACCGAGACAGAGAAAGAGACCGATACCAATTCCTTGGTTGTTCACGTACCTGATCGCTCAGGTTCTCCCCCAGCATCTTGAGCGCCTTGTCCAGATCGGCGGCCGACAGGTAACCCTGTTTTCATTGTCATTTGGTAACAGCACGATACCAACAACCGTCGATAAAAAAAAAAAAAAAAAACGGCGTCAGCAAAGCGAGAGAAGAAGAGGCAAACCCGCAAAGTAGTGCCATCTCAGCAGAACAAGAGTCCATCTCACTAAAACAAAAGTAAAGACACCAAGCGCAAGCACGCACACCTTCTTCCTTCCACGTCTATCCTGGTCCATCCACTTCAAAGCCCCCGTCCGGCTGCCGACCGTAGACTTGGGGTCGTGGCCGTACGTCTCGGGGCTCGCCAGCCCAGACATCACCGCCAGCAGGCACGCCTTCAGCTGCATGCGTCCCCGGTGGAAGGCCCTCAGGTTCTCCGCGGCGTGGACCATCGGCCGGCGGCTGAGGTTGGCCGTTTTCTGCATCCAGGGGTGCGCGAGTACGGCCTCAGCCGTGGGCCTGCGCTTGGGGTCCGAGTCCAGCAGCTGATTGATGAGGTCCTGCACACACATACAAATTAAGGAAAGGCAAACATCGAGAGAGAAAGAAAGAGAGAGGGAGGTGGTATGTTAACCGGAGCCTGATGGCGTCGCAGGGGGTGACTCGCACTCGAGGACGCGTTGCCAACGGCCTAACAACTAACGCAAGCAAAACATGGGTAACTCCCTCCTTTTGCTTCCGTGAAAACCCGGTTTGCTCCGTCCCGGTTTCGTAGGGATGCGAGGTCAACGGTCTACCCGCTAAGGCACCCAAAACATGAAAGTACGCCCCCCTCCCACTCACCACCGCCCCTTCCTTGCCGGACCAGTGGGACGACTCGAACGTGAGCTCTCTGGCGAGGACCTTTCTCCTCACGTCAGCGTCGTTCGCGCCGCCCTCGAGGTCGAACGGGTGGAAGCCGCTGAGCAGGATGTACAGCACCACCCCGAGGCTCCACATGTCCGCTGCCGTGCTAACCGACTGCCCGCGAAGGACTTCGGGCGCGCTGCAAGGGGGGGTGGGGGGGAAGTCAAAAGCACGAGGTCATACAAAGGACGGCGAGTCTTACCTGCTCACGATAGAGTCGTGCGGCGAAGAGTGGATGACGCCTAGCGCTCCCCCTCGCTTGACAACGTACCCGAGGGGACCTACACGCCTGCACGCGTTGGTTGCTCTATCGTTCTTGGGACCGCTACAGTACGGGCTTACCGCGAAAAGAGACGCGGATATTCCATTTCAAGGCGGGAAGGATAGAGGGGTGAGCCGGTCATCCCATGGTACCATAACGATAAAAGTCCATCCACACAGCTGTACGCGATGGTCCTGCTGTCGTTCTTGGGACTGCTATTGTACAAAAGATGTTCGGGGTTCTCCGCAAAAGGAGACGTGGTTGTCTGATCATAGGGTGGGAACCAAAAGAGGGGCGAGCCGGTCATCTCCCATCGTCCCCTGGCGACATACCACGGTAATCCATCCACACACCTGTACGCGATGGTCCCGCTATCGTTCTTGGGACCGCTCTCTCCAGTCGCGCCTACGACGAAAGCCGATCCAAAGTCCACCAGCCTCACGTCGATGTCGTCGGTATCTGCATCGTGGAGCTACAGAACAGCGGACAGCGAGACACGCGACCAACGAGCGCGACAGACAAACCAACCAACAACGGCAGACCATGCCGTGCGATCACACAGGGGGGACGGGGGACGGATCAACAGAGATAAAAAAAAAATACTTGGTAGTATATGCGTGCTCGACAACAGCATCACATAACCTGCGCACACCCTCTCGCATGACTGCGAGCAACCCCGAGTGGCGAGGAACCTTTTGAGTCCACGCTGCAGTACGATTTCAAATATGTGAGTACAACAACAACAACAACAACAACACAATATCGAACTCACCAAGATGTTCTCTGGCTTGATGTCGAAGTGGATGATCGAGTGCCCGTGCAGGTAGGCCACCGCGTCCACCACCTCCCTCAGGAGGCTCGCGGCGTCGTGCTCGCTGTGTGCCCCCTTCGTCACGAGCCGGTCAAACAACTCTCCTCCGGTGGCGAACTCTGTCGTCGCGGTGTATTGGGTGTACAGAGAACATAAACGTGGTTGGTCAAGCGGCTGTTGCGGTGTTTATTCATCTTCAACACTGCGCGTGGGCAAAGAGGCGGTGATTGCTGCGCGGAGGAAGAGACAAAGAACGGCATCAGAGCGACACATGGAACTCTGCAGGGGGCGTGTGTGACGCGAATGTTGAGAATCGCACAAACGACGGAGACGAGAGAAAAGCGAGAGTCAGAACAGGGACACACACACGATAAAAATATCTCAGGCAGGAACCGCAGGAGGGGGTCCAACCCCCCCCTCCTATGTGACCCCGGTTGGGTCGTCTAGCTGGTAGAAGTGGAGGATAGGGGCCAGAGGGGCAGAAGACAGAGTCCAATGATGTGAGACAAAAAAAAACAACACAACCACCGACACTTACCCATTACGATGTAGTAGAAGTTATCGTCGGAGAACAGATCTCGGAACCCGACCACGTTCTTGTGCTGCCCGGCCATCCGCAGCATGTCGACCTCCGCCTGGAGCCGATGCGTCGACATGAGCCGGCGAGGTATCTGCTTCACCGCTACCACCTCCCCAGTAACCTTGTGTACACCCGCGCACACCACGCCGAAAGCTCCTGGACGCCACAACAAGAGGGCGTCGGAGTTGGGTTGGGTAAGGTTGGGTGAGGGCTCGGCGTGAAAGAAACAACAGCAGTGTAAGAAAAAGCACGATCAAGGTGGAGAGCGGCTCGAGACTATGTAGATACGAAGAGCAGTAGGATGATTGATCGACGGCTACAGACTAAGGCTAGAAGAGCAGGAGGAAGATTCATCAACGGCTATAGACTATGTAGGCGAGATGGCAGGAGGAAGATTGATGCTGCAAAAGGTATTTCCATTGGTCAGCCGCTTAGCGCGGTCGATACTAGTAGTAAAAACACACACAGAACTACTTCACAGGATCTTGAAAAGAGATGTGGTGATGTGGGTTCCTCCATCCATGATAATCTTACAGCAGTAACCGACCCGGCAAAAGCAGCAGTATTTAGTCGATGTTTCCCCGCAGGGTATCACTGACCGGGTACATGGTGAGATGGAAGAGGGAATCGGACAAAAGTTACAAGTAGTCAAACGGGGATGCTCGCGGCAGAAAAAAAAGGGGTGGGGGGGGCGGGGGGCGGCAAAGGAGTCATGAACGGGTTGCACAACGCAACGATTGGGATATATTTTATTTCCAACCGGAATACAAAATAGTTTCCGTGACTATCATGCGTGAGTAACACTCAAGAGTCGATTTGGGGGTGTGCTATTCATAGGTAGATACGACCTGGATCGGGTAAAGATATTTATTGCCGCGGTGTGCGTGTGTGCAGCATTGCGAGTGAAGCATGCACACGATGTCGTCAAGAGGCGTACGAGGCGTAGCAAGGGACCCAACCGCCTGCCCGACCCGCCCCTGTTGCCACACAAGACAAGCTGATTCTGGGCACGACTTTTGTATTCACCCATCAACTACAACTCAACACGTGGACCAACAAAATCTGTCAAAAGTATATACTCTACCTTTCCCATCGAACGTTGCCGGACAAGAATTGTGATGCGCGTACAACAGAGACGTTAGCTACAAGGCGCTGCGGGATCGTACAACATCTACTTCAATGATGCAGAGGATGACGTTCCGTGGGCAGGAGGATGGAGGAGGTTAGTCCACACTCACTAATCGTCATTCACGCAGACTTTTACTTTAGCAATCCCGCAAAGGGTTGAGAAAGGACCTATCGCGTGAGCAACGGACAAAGAGGGCGCGGGGGCAATGGTCGTCACCAGCAGCAGGACGGGGCGGGCCTTTTCTGCAAGCATCATGCATGACGGGGCTTTCTCGGAACATCTGTTGCTCGTGGGAGAGAAGGGACAGCTGGCGGTGTCTGATTGTAGTTGCGAAATGCCCCAAAAAGAAATGGGGGGGGGGCAAGCATATTTTGAATCAAGCAGATGTAAGCCTGCTGTCGAAGGTCCCCGGGACATGCCAATTACTCAATCGATGCCAGTAGTAAAACAAATCACCTACAATTACAGACCCACGCGACAGGTCTGAAAAAAAATATATTTGTCATCCACCTATGGCCCAAACCTCTCGCTCCAACGAGTGACGCAACACACGACTTGTCGCCTTCGGACAACGTTTTTTCTTGTTCTTCCTCGTATTGTATGCTTAGTACATCTCTTCACGGACAATGCAATTCGCACAACCCCCTCGCATGCAGCATGTGGCCGATGCCCCCCAAAATGAGAGAGGCGTGACTCTAAGAGGGAAGGTGGGGGGGGGGCGCGGAAGGCCTCTCTGTCTCCTTTTCGAATCTGTTGTCTGGGCACTTATTAGTCTGGCTCTCTCTCCCCAAAAAAGGTGGTGATTTCGTTTCTGGGATTGGCCGTGTCTGCATGTCTCATGTAGAGCCCCCCGTGCGGGTAACCCGTGCGGGGGTAAGGGCACAGCGTCCGCACGGAGGCAAGGCAGGGGTGAGTGGGTCCGAAGCTCCTGACTCAGAGACGTGTACGCGCGGTGGCGGCGGCTCTCGAAAAAACAAAAGCAAGCAAAGTACCACACAAAGACCGCGAGCGCGCGTGGGATGCACTTTTGAGTGCTCGCTAAAAATAGCTGTTGGGTCCTCAAAAAACCACGTGGGCGCAGTCACATGGTGGAACAGAATTTTCGTGCGTACGTGATGATGTGGAAAAGGTATATCTAGATTCGGCTAGTGGTATTGCTCAGTTACAGCAGTCGCGAGGGGGTTGGGGCAAGGGAGCCTTCCTCGCCGAGGATGGGCTACGGCCCTCTGGGGCAGGGCAGGGCGTGCGTGTCGCAACGCCCTGATGTGCCTGGCACTTCAACGGTAGGCGACGTCAGCTGATTATTCAACCAGAGGGAACAAAACAGGCGTGATGGCGAAAGCTGAGCATCATGTCACAAGTCTACGCCTACACACAACCTATTGTCTTCGGAAATAGACATGATGTCGGAGGAGACGCACGAATTTACCTTGACCGATGGGGCTGTCCACCATTCGATACATGTCCTGAATCCTTCGCTGGCCCCCGCACTCCACCACGCTCGGCTTTGGGAGCAACGATGCCGCGACCCCTGCTAATGCCGCTGTGCTTCCTCCTCTCGCCGCTGCTGGTGGTGGTGTTGAACTCGTTCCCTGGGTCTCCTCCCGCTCGTCTCCCGCTAAACTCAAAGCCGCCACGCCCGCGGCCACGGCCGCGGCTGCAACGGCGCCAGCACCGCCGCCGTAAGGCGAAGGGGAAGACGCCGACGCAGCCTCCTCTTTGGCGGAGACCGCGGCTGCCGCTGCCGCCGTTGAAGCGCGTCTTCGCACATGACTAGCAGAAGCTCCGAAGCTGCTCTCGCTCGCAACAACTGGGGCCTCAGCGCTTCGCCAAAACCCTCCACGGAAAAACAACGATTGGTGCGGGTGGGCGGGGGAGGAACACCGGGTGGACGAGGCTGTCAGCAGCCTCCCACCCTTTGCGACTCCTCGGCTACAAGACAGCATGCAAGAAGTCCTGCGAAGACGTGCTATACACGTCCGGCTTGTTTTGCTGTATTTGTGAAAACAAATTAGACGGACCAAAGCTACAACCCGGGTGGCCAGATATCTATTCCGCCGGCCGGCGTTTCCCAGCCGCGTGCCCCCCCGGCGCAAGTGCTGCGTGCGCTCGGCCTGCAGCAGGGACAACAAGCGACAGAGGGACCACCAAGCAGTGTGGAAACACACGAAAAACACAAGGAGGAGGGTAAGCATTCCATCCTCTGCCAACCGCAAAGAGGTATGCTGTCCGCCTTCGCAGCAGCAGCGCTGGCTCTACTTGTGGCGGCAGCAGGTCAAGTCGATGCCACCACGCTCGTCGCCGCCAGGTTCGACGCAGGGGTCGTGATCGGGGCGGACTCCCGCACCAGCCAGGGGAGCTTCGTGGCGAACAGTGGCACGGACAAGATCACGCCGGTGTCTCCGGGCGTATTCCTCGCTCGTTCGGGCAGCTCGGCGGGTACGTAAGACCATAAATCACCCGCGGTAACTGCTGCTGCTGCTGCTGCGCTACAGCTGCGTAGGATTGCATCTTAGGGACATGCAACGGAGATCAGACCATGGTAAAGCAGCATAAGACAGCAGAGCGAGACCCACATACATGCGTTGCTGTAGCAAAGAGGGCGCTCGGATAGCATGCGCATCATCAGTAAGGAACAGAGGGTGCAGCGGCGGCATCGACGTTTTTTGTGTCATGTGTGTACAGCAGAACAACAAAGGCTTATGGATCTAGATATGCCATGTGTCTCCGCACAGGATGTGAGCTTGGCTGTGCAACTCGGGAGCACAGCAGCTTCTTCAACAGCAGTTACGTGACAAACGTTCCGTTTTCTTGGCACTGCCTACCATCATGGCTTACCGCAAATCTAGACTTACGGCAGGTCCCCGCGTGACGTGTCGATGGATTAAGTCGATCTGGGCATGTATGCCCCGTGCCGGTGTGCACCGAAACGAGGGTGGCTGCTGTTATCCAACTGTCCCGTGGCCGCCGTCTTCACACCAGTAGTTCATAGATCCAAGTTGTATAGCACCGCTATTATTCTACGAAGTAGACCGCCGCTGGTGCGCTGTGGCAGCGAGGCTACCTAACCTCACGAGCACGAGTCGTCCATCGCCATCCGCAATGCCGTGGAGCCCAATGCCGTTGCTACGTTGCTTCTACTTGTAGTGTGGTAACAATCTATAATAGCGTGTGTTACCGGGGATGGCGATGGACGACTCGTGCCTGTGAGGTTAAGCAGCCCCGCTGCCGCCGCAGCGCACCAGCGACGTAGTCGGTTCGAGACGCACAACAGTAAGTGACCTAGATTAAATAAAATATTCCAGCAAGAAACGACGGACCCACCGGCTCCCTCCCTAGAGGCAAGCCCTCGTGGAGCCCGGGCGAGCGGACCCGGGGTGCGCGTGCGTGCGTTTTCTTTGACCCAGGCTGATGCGTTCGAAGAGCCATGTTCTTTGAACGGGGAGTGGATAAGGAGTAGGCTGCTTTCTTCGTGACAAAAAACCGTCGTCGTTACGCACCGTCCCGCATCACGACACCGACACCAAGATGACGAGAAAGCTCTCATTATAGAGGACCAGCACGGTTGCTCTAGGCGAGCTGCGTTGCCAATTTCCGAACAGGAATCGGATAGGTCTGGCGAGTTTCGCGGTGTGGAGGGGGGCTACACAGGCGGTCGATACGGCAGCACGATGACCACACGCGCGTGGTTTGTGTCCTAGGACTTGCCGATGTTTGCAGTTCAAGACTGAACACGGCACTTGTCTTGTGCCCGAAAAGTGCGACCTATGTTGTTACCCTTGGCCCGCTGAAAGTTTGATCTCTTGTTGACGGAGCCCGTTGTGCTTTCAAGCACTCGTAGATAGTACCCTCGCCGGGCCCACCGCCTCCGCCGCAGGTCCGTTCCGCCCATGCCCAGGAACACTCCACTGCCCACCTCTTGCCCCTACCAACCCCCAAGTCCCGCCGTTCCTGCCAACCATGATTTGTGGAGCAAAGGTTTCGCAGTCTCGCACGCCAGGAGTCATAAGACACTCCCAATATCATTCTCAATACTTTCTTAATCCACGCGCGCCTACGTTCGCCCTTGTCCATCCACGCCCCCCATGAACGCTTTGTTTTTTTGTCGGGGGTGATTTCGGCGCGCAGACACCCAGTTCGTCGCGGGCGTCATCGAGGCAAAGCTCGAGGCCTACAGGACAGAGTTCGGCCGCTACCCCACGGTTCGAGCGGCCGCGACAGCGACGCGCAACCTGTGCTACGCCAACAAGGATCAGCTTTCGGCTGGCATCATCTGCGCGGGGTGGGACTCACGAGAGGGTGGGAGCGTTTTCTCGGTGCCTCAGGTACGACGGGGGCTCCGAGGGGTACAATATTGGGGGGGTATGTTGGTGGGAGTGGGGATGATTCGTGTAGACGAATGCTGTAGTTGTTGACCATTGATTTGGGGGGGAGGGGGAGGGACTTGGTGGCGAAAACAAGAACAGTACAATATTGGAGTACAGTCGAGGGACCCTTTTAGTGCCGGTTGAATAGTGCCAGATGCCCGGTATAGTGCCGGTAAAATCTCTGCACACAGGCGGAGCTCTCAATAGTGCCAGACCGGCACTAATTAAAGCATGCCCGATATAGTGCCGGTTCGGCACTGCTGTCACCCCCAATAGTGCCGGTACTCCGCACGCGCGAAACACACACACGCACAACCCAGGGCAGAAAACATAGACTCCACACACAGAAATAGGGTACACGTGCTGCTGCAGACCCGAACAGCTCTACACAGGGGCGTACCATGCCCTGTGCGGAAGGTGAACTGTGCCAACTACAGGACACCACGCCGCAAGACCCTCATGGTCACGGCTGCCAGGGAGGATGTGGCGGGCGACTGCACGGCATTTGCGGCAGTGTGGTTGATGTAGGCAACGAGAATCACCGCATCTGCAGCGCGTGCGTCGCCAAAGCCGGCAAGCGCAAAGTGTCAGCAGCAGACAGCACTGGGAAGGCACAATCTAAACGTCCGAAGGCCACGAATGGGGGGAGTAACAAGTCTCAGCCTCGTGCGCGGCCAGATTTCAGCGCCAAGTGTGAGATGCTGAAGCTGATGGATCAGAAGGTGACTCATGAGCAGCTAGCAGATCGCTTCAAGTGCTCGGAACGGTTGGTCCGGGATGTGAAGAAGAACAGGAAGAAGTACGAGACCGAGGCTGCTGCAGGACGCGGAGGAAGCAAGAAAAACGTGCGCACAGGC